ATTTGAATTCGAACACTTCGAACTCACTCGTCACACTGTTTTATGGTTTAGTCTGATATGAGCTAGCAGAGGAACCTAATGGACCTATAGATCATGGGCTCCAACAATCCAAGATTAACTGGTTAAACTCATTAACCTTGTTAACCAACATTCGTTAACTACTAGGACACTCCACTATAGCCTAGTAGTTGCACTCCCCTCACTATAGATATATTTCTGTCCATTTGATATAACCATGATTAGTAAGTTGATGCTTCACAGGTTGTTCGTAACTAGAGCTTGGTCAATTAGCCGTTTTACCCCTGAAGTTACTTCTTGTTTCTTATGTCCCACTGATCCTCTTATGAACAATTGGTTTGTGGTCCAACCAGTAAACCGAATCCCTCTCAGGCCAATGAGTGGGTGGGGCCCCTTGTTCAAGACCTAGAGTCAGTACTTAAGGGAACTACCTCTCTTCTATCCCTAAAAGTGGGTAGGAGCGAAATCCATCTTGCACCCCACGTCCCTTACTCATCTTTTGAAAGCCGGAATATGAGCATATAGGAGTATCCGTATCACGCATGCTTCTCCACTGATGACAAAATGCCCTTCGAGGACTCTTCTAGGAATTCCTACCCCTATCAATTTTAAGAGGGAAAGAAGTTAGTCTTCCGCATTCATATGCTTTTGCACCCAGACTGATAGTGGGAAAGCGTAGAGATCATAAATCAAGGATGGGATAGGAATAGAGGCATTCCAGCCCAACATACTCCGATGAATGGGTCGAGAGAGATAGGGAGGGGAGTGGGATAGAGGAAGTCTAGTAATATGTGACTACAGGGTTTACTCTTCCTCATCTTTCATTATTCATAATTGTTAAGTGGCTATCCAACCATTAAATCGGCTATGGAAGGAGGTTTCAGCAAGTGGGTAAACCGATGCAAAACTGAGGTAGGTCGATCATCGCTCATCCCTCGTGTTCTATACTGTGAAGTGATTAATTCGGGAAATCCCTATGGAAAAGAAAGTCTTCCAATTGGAGTTAATTTCCACCCTCTGATTGATGAGCCATTCCCCCCTTCCGTATAGCCAGAAAGGTATTCAATCTTATGGATGCCTTTCAGTAGTTCTTCCATCCCCTCTTATTCCACCTATCCCTTCACTCCCCAGGGATTTCGTATAGCTAGACAACCACGGTTCATCGCTCGGAGAGAAAGAATAGAAGCAAGCATTTCCCGTTCGTTCAGTCGATAATGAATCAATACGTAGGGAAACTCTCTCCTATGATGGGAATGGCAAGTCTCGTACAGGCTCATATTGGTTGGGTATGCTCATTCCATAGGCCACTTTCCAGAAGGTCTTCAAGGTAGATATGCTCTTCTTCTTCTCATAAAGATCATACCTTTTTTTTGGTCAGGGGGCACAGAAGGGAGAGTGGGCCGGGTTTCAAGCCTGGTTGCATGTGACTGAGTCGGGAGAGGGGGGCGAAGAGATCCGCTTCACTGCAAAATTGCATTTGTTTTTACGTCTTTTTCTAGTCAAATTGAAATCCTTCGAGAATCTTTAATCCTCATCTTCGTCATGCTATGAATATAGGTAGGCAAATCACGCCATTTCTTTTTCAGAGTAGCAGGAATCTGATATAATTCACTTTCACTTCTCAAGCATCTTTTTCAATTGTTTTCCCACTTTCTTGTTGTTATCCAAAAATAGAAGAAGATTCATAATGAACATTCATTTATGACGTCCGCTGTCCTAAAAAAGAGATTGTTAGCAAGCAGCACTACTACTAATTCCCGGTAGGTTCCCATTCAGGGGCTGAAACCAGCATTTCGCCCCATGCATCGTGAATTGGATCAAGATCAATAGCTTCTTAATTGGATTTGGCTCTCGAATTGACTATTGAAAAGGAGGTGAGGTGATGGTGCTCTTTCGACGATATGCATCTCGAACCTGGTCTCCAACCGACACAGAAATTGGCCCAGCACTTGGGGTGCCCCTACCCAGTCTCAAGAACTCGAGCGGTCTTTATAGTGGTAGCCGATTCAGATTGTATAGCTGCTAGGAAGCATAAAGATCGATCCATGTCCAGATTGCAACGCATTAAGATGTCAATGCCTAGTAGTGAATGTGTTCCCGGTGGGGCTATCATCAGTGTTCTAGTGCAAATCATATCTCTTTTAAAGCACGTTAAGACCAAAACAAAATGTCATAATCACAGTGCTTTCATTTTCTTTAATAGTTTGGTTGCGGTGGGGCGGAAGATTTTGATAAATAAGTGAGTGCGATCTCTTCTAGCTCTTCGAACTCATACTCCTCCGGTTGTCCATGTCTCTAAAAAGAATATAGAAAGATCTCTCCCAAAGTAGTTTGCATATCTCGCCTGCGGATCCTCGTATAGATTTCGAATGCTCTCATAGGACTGTACGGAAAGCTTTCTTAAGATCGGATCATTATAGATTTGGTACCAATCGTGACATTTGAGAAGCTTGTCTATGACTTGCTCTAGTTGACTCTGATGAGACTAATTGTGCTTTTTACTAGTGTCTAAAATTTTGTAATTATTTATTCATTTGTGTATTCCCCCAGACAAGCAGCTCCTTATCTTCTTTGATGAGACAGAACAATATGGGAGCCTAGGGTGAAATTGCACATCGAGTGCTCTGCCCTCCCACTCGATAAAGCACTCTCTTATCTTCTTAGTGGGAGTATGCTTGGTGGAGGCATTCCTGTTGAATACCCCTGCATTTAGGTGATACCCACCTTCATTATGTGGTTCCTTTGCCATTAGAACGACCTGGCTGTCGAATAGTTGCCTAAGTCGTTCTCTCACCAACTCCTTCTTTGTGGTAGGTCTTCTATCCACATGAGTGTTAGCGTAACAAGAATGAATTTCTTGATTGTGGTGCCCCTTCCATGGTTCCTTCCTTCATTTGTCTGTGCTCCATCTCTACCAATGATGAAAGAAAAAGGTTTGTCCCTCCTGCGTCTGCTTGCTACTCCCGCTTTCTTCTTTGTGATTGCCTTTACAAAGTACACGTCATTCATTCCTTTTGCTCTCGAGATCCTAATGCCAACTGCAAGATAACATCGAAAGCATCAATGCATCGTCGAATAAGTGAGGTGGCACTCTCTATGTACTTGTAGTTGAGTAAGGACTGTAAGCTTCAAGTCCCTTCTGACTTATCTTCTTTTTTTAGAACCAAGAACATTTGCCCATCATGAGGAGTTGAGTTTAATTCTTCGCCTACCACTAATAGAATAGCCTCGTCCGGGAAATGCGTCCCCTTCTTACTAATCAAATCAAGCTCATAGTCACGGGCCATAGGTGGTCTGCTCCTGCCCCTTTACTTTACTCATTTAGGGCTTCTGGGTGACGTACACAATATCGAACTCTGAGAGTCACATCTGCCACCTTGCTGGCCCATGAAGGCTGGTTTTTCAAAGAGATACTGAAGGAGAAGGAAGCGGGTCCATCCTTGCAATCAGCATGGTCGTATAGTTCAAGATGTAGTGGCGTAGGCATTGCGAGGCTCATGAACCGTATACCTTGTCTCATAATCAGTGAACTTCTTGCAGATCTCTCGTATATGCTGAAGCTTCAAGCTATTGGGAAAGGCAAATTCGCTTCTTTGAGAAAGCTTTTTCATAGGAATAGGAAGAGAAGCTATTCATTCATCTTTATCCTTAGGTTCGCCATCTCTTTTCATAGGATAAGTTCTAAGCCTTGGTCTTTTTTTGTTCAATCAAAGAAATTCTTCAGCCAAGATTGACTCTGGCGGGGGTAAGTATCTTGATCTTGATGTCGAAACTAGGATTGGTTAAATAGAAGTTAGAGGGCTCAATTCTGGAGTTCGAATCAACAAACGGATTGATTGTTCCAAACCTGCACGGTGCACCGGCTTTGTTTGAAGGCAGTAATTCGGGCTTTTGCTATAGTTTTCCATCTTAATGGTTGGAATACAGTATTCCTGCGAAGATTTAGCAAAGGGCTTGGCCACTGCGCCGAGAACGAAAGAGTTCCTTGGACATCGGATCAAAGGAAGGGACTAATTAAGCATGAATATTCATTCCAATAGGGATGGGGAAGGCCGAAATGGGATCTCCAATCAAAGGTATCTGGGAGTTAAGATCTTTTCTTGGCCTGGGAAACTACGTAGGTTCATTTTTGGGTCCTTTGACTAATCTCCTTAAGAAGAACCGACACCATGGCATTGGACTAGAGAAGATCAAGAGGCCTTTGAGGAATTATAAAGTCAAGGGGGCATCATGGCTGATCCGGTGTTGGCCTTTCAGGATCATGCTAAGCTGGTCGAAGTACGATGCTTCAGACTATTCCATCGATGTTATGCAAGGAAAGAGAGAGAGAGGGCAGCCAATCGCCTATAAGAGCCGTAAGATCAATGAGACCGAAAGAACACAGTACAAGAAAAGGAGATGGCCGCCATAGTGCACTGTCTACGCACCTAAACACAGAATAAGCTTAGCCGGTAAAAAAGAATTAGTAAAGAAAGGAGAAAATGACAGATCCTAGGAAGATTTTTAGATAACGGGACATATTCATGCTAGTAATATTAATTAGATTACCACGTCTGATTAGATCATTAGATAAGAAATCACATAAAAGGTTTCAACTTTTCTTGTCTTCTTTATTCTAGTTTTCTTTTTATATTCTCTCAAATATCTTATTTCTCGATCACTATATATTTCTATTTTCTTTGGTTCATTCTTTGACTCTCCGCTCCCCCTAGAACAGAAGGAAGAGACAAAATGAATCCATTTTTGTATTTAAGTATAAGGAGTAGGCGAGGGCTCTACTTGGCCAATTCAAAATCAATCACCGGCTGGGTTAGTCCAACCAAAAAAGAAATGGGAATTTTAGGCGTCAGATTCTTATTCTTTTTCTGATCTTACGTCCGATCGATATTTCGAGTTAGAGATAAAAGAGCCCAAGACGCGCCTAGATAAGCATATAGTTCGTTGTGATCCTCAAGTTTAAGTCGTTGTAGCCGCCTAGGGCAATGTTGCTCAGAAGTTCATAGGTCAGGTCGAATCCCATGCTTGGACTTGGGCACGAAAGAAACGATAGATATTAGCTATTACTTGTGCATCGTTAAGAGTTATGGCTCTAGGCTTTCGGGGAAGGGAATTACTTACTCTAGAAAGAGTGAACTGCCTTACTGGGTAATGGATAAAAGCACTTGATTCTCCTCCTTTCTTACTAGACTGGAATCTCAATCAATAATCAGGATTGGCACCTTTCTCAAGCTAAAGCTTGTATTTTATTTACTTATCCTTTCTCATAGGACAGCAAGAGTCTTTAAACCATTAGTCAGGTGCGGAGCAGAAGCCCACGAGAGGAATTCGATCCGCATGCATACATAACATACTTTCTATCTATTTTCTTCTGAAGAAGTGAAAGTTAGATATAGTCTGGTGGTATCGTATAGAAGAATCAGGCTAAGGCTGCTTTTTTGGAGTGAAAAAGTCGAGATGTTCTAGGGTGCAAATTCAATGGGTGCCGGGGGGAAAGAGGAGCAGCCTTTGAAGTTTTCAGGCAATGAAAAGGAGAGAGCAGCAGAGACAGGGATCACTTTCTCTCCTTGGTCTCGGGAAATGACTATTTAAGCATGACTATTCATTCCAATAGAGATGGGGAAGATATTATTCCACCTACGCTACATCAACTGGACTTTTGTCAATATAGTTGCGAGTAGCTCGAAACCTGCAATAGAAAGGATTTAGGGGGAAGAGTTTCGGTCCGACAATGACTACAAGAAACCCAAGAGAGCGTGAGGA